GAGAGGGTCGTTTGAGGCGAGGTAGTTCACCAACTCACTGTTGGAGGTCGGGTACACCGTTTTGCCGTTAGCTCCGCCAGTGGTTCCAGCGGCCAAGCCTTCGGGTGAACCGATGGTGAATGCACTAGCACAGTCGGCGATGAGAGCCAAGGCAGCAGCGAGAGCAAGGTGGACACGGACCATTTTGGAGAACGATGAGTGTTTTGGCTGTGTGTCGGCGCTTTGAAGTGCTCGAGGCAAATTTGAGAATGGCTTTACTAGTAGTTGAGCTGGGTGTGTGGTTGCTTGACCTGCACCGCCCTGTGGGCGATGATATCAGGGGCACGGACATACAACTAGAAGGCAACGCAGGATCGTTTTGCTTTAGGAGCTGAGCAGGGCGGATGTTGTGGGGACTGCTGTAAGTGGGGTAGCATTCCTTCAACTTTTTTTTTCGCAGCGTCAATGCAATACGACAGCGAAACCGACGGCACGAATTTAGGATTCCGTGGACAAATACACACCACCGTGTGCTAACTCAGAAGACACAACCTGACATGATCTCATTCTCATTAACCTTTTATAGTATTTAGAATAGTTTAAAGGATGCGTAAAGTTACGAACTCGGTAAGAAGTCCAGTTCTGAGGGGTGGATTTTTTGATACTTTTCCAAATGGGTCAGCGCAGGATCATCGGTATTCGATGCTCATTACCGTAACCATCACGAAGGCGAGCATTGTTCACGACTCCCTTGTTGTCAATTCAATCTCCTATTCCCTTCAGATGTGCACCAGCCGGATTCAGGCATTCGACTTCAACAAAAACGACGGGGTCTCTTAATGTCGGTATTAATTATGAGAAACAGAGTATTTTTCGCTGATCGCGAAGGCAGATGTTTTGGCTCAAGATGTAGTACGTTGCAATGTGCCAGCCAGAGCCAATGGTCCAAGGTGTTAATGCATTAGACTTTATTGTAGTGGCTTATATTTAGTTGAAAAAAATGCTGTATCACTCTGCAGGTGTCTTGACATCATTAACAGAGTCATGACTGGGTAATTAATATGTAAAAAAAATCATGCAGTATCTCGCTTTTACTGAGTCTACAGCTCAGAATACAACCGCACAATGAAGCGGTCATAGACGGCGCATCAAACGCATGCGCCGCAACCGCGCTAGTATCCGGGCAAGCATATGACAGAGCACTTCTTTACCACTTGATCCAAGAAGACTTAAACTTATTATCTTGAAGGCGAAGTAAAAAAAATGCCTTCATAAAAGGTTTGAGCAAGGTACACACGAAATATGTGGTCACTCTGTGTTGTAAGTTACAACTTGTAACTGCTCGCACCTGAGATACGCAAAACCGTGTAGGCGCTGCTTGCCCGCAATAAATTTGTCCGCGGATACAGTGTCGCGTGCTTCTGGTGTGCCCAATGCCAGAGTAAACAGATGTCCAAAACTTAAAAAATAAAAAGAGTGGAGATGGCTTGAGGTGTGTAGTGCTCAAGGCGAGACAAACTAGATATGCTAGCGCGCTATCGAGGTCAACAGTAGTAACAACATCACCGCTGGAGACCCGGGATTTTGTAGATAGCATCAACAGAGTTCTTGTAGAGTGATCAGAGACATTATTCTACTGCACACTGTACGAGTCATGGGCCCTACCTTCACCCCACTGTGCGAACGCCGGCATTAGATACAGCAGCCTAATATGTTGTAGTATATGTTCCTCTTTTACTACGACAGTGCTGGTACTAGTATAATATCCCAAGCACTTGCCCGATACTAGTCAACTTTGCTGAGGATCCACTATATACTACACCATCCACTGATAGTATGCCGCCCAGCATCGCGCACGACACGACTCCACGCCCTCGTCTCAAACAGCCACAGGTCTCCGCGATGTGTCCACAGTCCGTGTTTCCTATTTACCCTAGCTTCGTTCTTTCCTGACAGTCGGACTT